GGTTTTGGCCCAATCCCGCAGGCCAGGCCAAGGGACCCCACTAGTGCACAAATTCATGCACCGGGCCTCTAATAATATATAAACTAAACCTACTATGGTGTCAGACCATTATATCAGCTTAATCTACTATTATTTCCACTAATCTTATGCAGGAACATTAAGGAAATGAAGTCCAGACCATCACATGGTGGTATAGGGGGCTGAAGAAGATAATGAGTCCCCAAAGCAATTGTGGGAATGGGGGTCCAGTCTTTTCTCAGGAGGAATGGAGAGTAAAGAAGGTAAAATCAGGCTTTCAAGGCTAATCTCTGACAAATGCATTTTGAATCAAACCCTTGTTCCAAGGACAGAACAATGCACTCTGTGCCTTAGGACATCCTAGGGCCAACTTTGCTCATTTCCCAGTTTTCCTTAGATTAGAAAATTAGTTTAAATGCATGTTGGCTATAAATAAAAGTTAACAATAAAAGCCTGCCCTAACAGATGTAAGGAAGTCTGCACAGGAAATTTTTTACAACAAGCAAATCTATTAAGATATACAAATTCCAGTTATAAAACAGTCATGGGGATATAAAGTATAGCATAAGGAATACAGTCAGTAATCTATACTAATAAAAGGGTAATATGCAAATTGGTCAGGATACCCTCACAGTAATGACTGAACAGCAGGCTGCATGGGGTGACCAGACCAGTAGGGAGGTTAGTGAGGGATGACCAAATCATTGAACAGCAGGCTGCATAGGGTGACCAGGCCAGCAGGGGGGTTAGTGAGGGACGACCAAATGACTAAACAGCAGGCTGTGTGGGGCAGCCAGGCCGGCAGGGGGTTAGTGAGGGGTGATCAGGTGAGGGGCGACCAAATGACTGAGCAGCAGGCTGCATGGGGCAACCAGGCCAGCAGGGGGTGGGGCAGTTGGGGGCAACCAGGCCTGCAGGGGAGGCAGTTGGGGGCGATGAGGCCAGCAGGCAGAGGCAGTTAGGAGTGATCAGGCTGGCAGGGGGGGCAGTTAGGGGCAATCAGGCAGGCAGGCAGGTGAGTAGTTAGGAGCCAGTGGTCCCAGATTGTGAGAGGGAAGTCCGACTGCCGGTTTAGGCCGGATCCCGAGGGGTCCTGGATTGAAGAGGGTGCAGGCTGGGCTGGGGGGACCCCCCCCCTCTGTGCACAAATTTCATGCACTAGGCCTCTAGTATTGCAATAATTATGCATGATGTCAAATGGGTACTAGATTTATCTGGGTGATCACTTTATAAGTTATATAAATGTCTAACCACTATGCTAATATAATATTGTATATCAACTGTAATTAAAAGTAAAATTTTTTTAAATAAGCAAATCTAACAAGAAATTATCTTTAATATCCTCATGCTAACTTATATAATCATTTTCCAAGAATGATAACCTTAGTTCAAATCCTGCTTCATCCCATACTAACTGTCTGATCTTAGGCAAATTAGTTGACCCTGTTAAACATGATGGGGTGGGCCCAAGCATGGAGACACACAGAGAGGAGGCTATAAGCAGATGTTGTAAAGCAATAGAAGTCACGAGTGAGCAGAAGCCATAAGGGGAAGATGTCAACAGGACTAGCAGAGGAGGCAGAGGAGCAGGTAGAGAAAAGAGGGGAAAAGGGAGATTTGGAGTCTCAGGCCTGTCAGGCTGTATAAGAGTTGCCTTTGCCAGACTGTAGGAATTCAGCCCCCATTTGACCTCATAGCTAGGTGTCTTATGCAGTGAGCAACCTACACAGCCTTACATGGAAGACCTGGGCCTATGCCTAGCAGCAGAGATTGGCACTAACATAGGCAAAGCTAAGATCACAGACCCATTTGGAAATGTGAGGGACTATTCAACTCCAGACCATCATTGCCATGTAGGAGTACACGCCTCATGCTACTGGAAATCTGGATTTGCATGTGAAATCAGCAGTTTGCAAATGTTGGCAGGGGAGAAAGAAAAAAAGGAAGAAAGAATTACTCTTGGATCTGCAGACCCAATTCTGGCTAAGTAGCTTCTTGTTCTCCTTACTTTGTGTTGTCTCCTTACAATAATTAACCATTAATTGAGTTAACCTAAGAGTATCTATAATCATTATAGCCTAGAAAAGCTTACTACCATGTATAGCTACTGTTACTACAATTAACAATGCTAGGTCACACAATGAATGCTTCCTCTCTGACAGGAACTGTCTTAATTAGCCCATTTAATCCTCGCAACAATCCTTTGAGGTAGGCATTATTATCTCCACTTTACAAATTAGGAAACGTAGGCCAAGAAAGGCCAAGTAACCTGCAAAAAAATGTTCCAGTAGGAGTTAAACTTCTGACATGTTCCTTTTCCAGCAGCTTAGCAACGGAAAGCTTACTGTGTAAAAGCTTTCCCAAGAAGGCATATTAAACTTTACCCTGACTACTGAGAACAGGTTTTGGCTTGTCGCTGAGACTCTAAACCCAGCTCCAATATCATTAATCCTTCCATGGGTGAGTAGTCTTAGAATATGTTCCAAGTGAAATTCAAATACCCACATTAGCAGTGGGAAAAAGATTTAAGAGCAATTATTGAGGGTTGCTTTTTCATCAACCACAACTCTCTTTTTGTGTGTGTATCACCAAAAACCAAATCTCAAGCTCAATAAAAGCAAAGTCCTTTGAAGTCCCAAATCTGTTAATGCCCCAAGTATTTTTCCGGGATATGGGATGGAGAAGGCAGAGGAAGTACCTGGAACAGTGCTTGAGGGTTCCCTTTTCTCCACATCCTCACCAACACTTATTGTTTGATTTACCGATGATAGCCATTTCTGACAGGTGTGAGGTGATATCTCATTGTGTTTTTAATTTGCCTCTCTCTGATGATTAGTGACATTGAACATATTTTCATGTATCTGTTGGCCATCTATCTGTATGTCCTCTTTGGAGAAGTGTCTATTCAGGTCCTTTGCCCATTTTTAAATTAGATTGTTTGTCTTCCTGGTGTTGAGTTGTATAAGTTCTTTATATATTTTGAAAATTAACCCCTTAGCAGATGTATCATTGGCTAATATATTCTCCCATACAGTGAGTTCCCTTTTCATTTTGTTGATGGTTTCCTCTGCTGTGCAGAAGCTGTTTAGTGTGACGTAGTTCCATTTGTTTATTTATTTTTTTATCATTTGCTTCCCTCACCCTAGGAGACATATGGACAAGAATATTGCTTTGAGAGATGACTGAGATTTTACTGCCCATGTTTTCCATAAAAATCCTAGAATAAAAGGGGTAAAAGGAGGGAAAATGGGAGATATCTGTAATACTATCAATAATAAAAATATATTAAAAACAGAAGCATTAAAATAAAACATAAGCAGTAAAATCATATACTATCTTGAATAGCTCTCTCCATCCCCAGACTCCTCGCTTCTTCCTAGAAACTGGGTCAACTCAGTTTCATCAGCAAAGAAAACCTTCATCCTCCAGCTTCCTATCTCTCCCCTTTCCCTGCCAGCCGGCCTCCACTTCCTCCACTCCCTCGCACTCCCTAATCCAGTGTTTTCGGCTTCCATCCTCCACAAAAACTGTCCTTGACACAGCCAAGGATGACCTCTTTCCAGTCCTGTTTTAAATGCACCTTTCTGTTGGGTCAGACACTGATACAACTCCATCCTTCATACAACCCCACTCTGGGATTATACACATACTATCAACTCTACTAGTCAACTGTCCTCAGTTTCTTGAATTGTTCTTCCTCCCCATTATGCCCCTTAGATGTTGTTCATTGCTAAATGATAGCACTTGGATGCATTTGGGATTGCACCAGCAGCTGCACCAGATAAGTAAATCTTGTTCCTAAAACATGGGAAGCATTGAAGAAAAAAAATGGGGGACTCTCAGCAATGAAAAACCCAGTATATTACATCAGTGTTTTTAGGAGTCTACTGTGAGTATTTTCTGTAGAGTAGATAGGTTATTATAAATAGCCTTTTCTCACAGGAAATCAGTTGCTTTAATGGTTTCCTTCCTTCAGGGGACAATGTCAAAGCTATTGAGCCCCAAACTGCCCATTTTGATCATTTAGCTCATATGGAAAAATTCTCCCTCAAGAATGCAGAAAGGAATTTCTACAAAGCAATTAATTTATCCTCTTTTGCCCAACTGAAAGCAGTAGTGCCTGAGCCTTGGCTGTTTCCTGTCAGTTTAATAACAAACAACCCAACCCTTCTTGCCCTCACATCTTGAACCCTACGTGCTCTGAGAGATCTGGTAAATGCTTGTGCCAGGACCTAATGACAACCTAAAGGATCCTTAGTTGGGGGGATACAGTCAACAAGTTCAGAGGGTCACAAGACATGTCTCCTCCTTACAAAGTCTGTCTTCTAAAATAAGAGAGAGGGCCTTTGGGCCAATAGCAACTTTATAGAGTTTTCTGGATGTTATGAATTTTCTTGATGCTATAATTAAAAGTAATAGGATAACCTTTGAAAGGCCAAAAGTGGCATGGCAGATGAGATACACTCTAACCAACCAGGAATAGAGAAAAAATGTTTGATATATTCAATTTCAAAGGCAAATTTATTGAGGCTGTCAGATTGGTACTGGGAGTAAATGAAATGTCACTGCCCTTTTTCATTTACCTCCTTGGAGGAACAGGCTGCAGTCTGAGCTGACTGAGCCGTGGATGGTGACTAGTCTTTGCACTGTTTACAGAGTCTGCTCTCAGAGATGACTCTGGGGTGATGCGAATACTAGGGTGAAGGCAGTTCTCTCCCCAGAAGTCATGCCATAGGACCATCTCTGGTCTTGAAAGCTTGCCATTGGCCCAAGATCCAGGGCAACTTTCCCAGCAGTCCTTTGCCTCCATCTTCACCCCATCCTGTGAGGTGCCAAGTAAAGGAAGGATTTACAGCAACGATGATGGTTACAAAGACAAGTGGGGTCAAGGAGAGAAATGAGGAGGTGCATTGGGTTCAACTTGGGAGAGTGTGTTCTCCCTGCTCTAGTACAATCCTCCTTCCATTCAATTTTGCACTCACCTCACTCAGTCTCCTAGAATGAAGTAACAATAGCAGGCCACAAGTGCCCATCCATGAGATTATTATGGTTCTGGGAAGTCCCCCTTTTCCAGAGTCAGGTTTGTTTCCTTACGCAGCAATCCTACATTTGGTAACAGCATTGTCTCAGTAAAAATGCAAGTAACTGTGTGAGCAATAATCCACTAAATGCTTAACAGCCACAAACCAATTCATGCCGAAAGGTGGATCAGCTGAAGGCTGGGTTTGAAGGTGGCTTGGGGAAAAAGCAGACAGACAGGTACAGATAGAGCCCTTGGAGACCATGTGTGGATGAGAACCTCAGAACACACTGAAGTGGGTGGAGCTATGCAGGGAAGGGACTAGGAAGGTGGAGAATCTACAGGCAACATCACTTATGTCCCAATTTTAATCAGGCTCTGATAGTGGAATGGGTGGGGGGGAGAGAAAAGAGCACTTGACATAGATAAATGGTGTTTGTTTGAAAAGAAAAAAACGTAAAATGGACCAAATAAATCTAGGCATGAATCAGGCCATATGATGATAGATAATTCAGAGCTGGAGGCTAAGAACAGGGCAATGTTAATCTGTTTTTATCAAAAAGGCACAGGCCAAGGAGAGTATAGTGGAAAATAGCCAAAGCAAGAGAACTGAGGGGTCCTTCTGGAGTTTGAGGGACACACCCAGGGTGAAGAGTGAGCGAGGCAGTATGTAATACCTCCGTGTTGTTGCTCCACAGAAAAGTCACCTCACATGAGGCCCTCCACCCCACCAGCTTACTGGAATCTGTATTGTACAAAATATAAGATTCTTTTTCTTGAAGGTATTAAAGTTTCAACACAAAGTTTGCATAGCTTGTTTAGTCTTCTTTTTCTTCTTCTTTTCCTTTAATTTACAGAGGATCATAAAAGAACTTTTAAACACAACTTACATGGAGACAATGGAATTGGAAATATTTTAGCTTATTTATAAATGATAATATTATCAACAGAACTTAAACTGGAAATATTCATTTTTCCAGAGGCTGTCAAGCTTTTGAAACAAAGATTTCTTTGCCATAAAACTAGCCCTTCCATCACCTCCCTTGGAGGGAGGCACCTGTCCCCAAGAACTTGGTCAACAGCAACCAGCCTTCTTCAAAATGCACTGGCCCACCTGTCATGATCGACCAACAGGTGGATGAGGAAGAAAACATCAGTGGGGCTAAACTTCAGGGGCTATGATGGGGAAGCACCTCCAGTAATTTTGAGCTTCAAATCTCCACAGCTGCGGAGCACACATTAGACTTAAGAAGTGTGGTGGAATTCCAGGGAGGAACCATGCAGACCTGGGGAAGTCTGTCCACATTAATTAATTAATAAATTATCTAATAAATATTTATTAAACATCTACTATATGCGAGGTGTATGCTAGGCTCTAAAGATTTGAAGGGGAACGAAACTTACCCTCCTGAAGCTTCCAGTCTACGAGGGGTAGGTGGGGAGACATTAAATAAACAATCACATAAATTTAGTTTTTTAAAATGTGATAAGTGCAAATAAGGAGGAATAGAGAGTGCTCTGTGTGTATAAAAGGGGAGTGTAACTTATTAGAATTTGATCTAAGATCAATTTAGTGGGTTGTGACCAGCATTTAAAGAAATACAATGAAACCTAAAAGAATAGAAAATGTCAATGTGCATTGGAAACAGTACAAGTGGAATATCGTTTCTTGAAACTTTCATTTCTGTGTGCGTGTGCGTCTGTATGCACTTGAGAGAGACAGAGAGAGACAGAGAGAGAGACAGAGAGACAGAGAGAGAGAGAGAACGAACTAAATTATAATATAAAGTGTATTGCCTTCGTAGATTGTGGCAAAGAAACTTTGAAAGCTAATATTGAAGACCCAGTTAAGATTGTGAGTAGCAGGTACCACAGACTGTCTTTAAGGATGGATGACAGAGCTGCGGAGAGAAAGGGCGATTGTGGGCCCAAGGGTCCCTTTCATTGACATATTCTTCCAGAAGGTGGGGTGGGAAACACATTTGATATCAGAGTCATCTAGATTTGGGCAATGAGATATACAGAACAATTCCACCCCACCCCCACCCACTCCATTTCATCTGGAGCCACCTGAGGCCTCAGGGGAAAGTGTAGGGAAGAAGGACACAGCGCTTGTCCAAATTGGGGAACCCTGGGAATCTTAACATGAAAAAAAAAGTGCCAACCAATAAATATTAAACTGTCAGGGGGCCAATCAGATCTCTCTTGTTTGTTTCTGAAACCCTAATTTTATTGGTAGTAGAGACTAGAACCCAAGTCTAATCACCAGGCGGAGCCTCTTTCTTTACACTGTGATGTCTTCCCACAGTGACTTTCCATCGTGGGTTTGCAGTGTGGTTCATAACATCAGTAGCACTCAGGGGTGGAAAGGTACAGTGGTTTGAAGGGGCCAGATGTGAATGGAAATGTATGTTACACTGAAGCATAGAGAGATCACCTCCCAACATCCCAAACATTCTCTCCTCCATCGGAAAATCAAGTTTCGTGCATTATACCATTGAGTTACTTAAGCCCCTGAAAGCTGGGCAGTGTTTTTAGTGGATTGTTTCTAGTTTTGACAATGTGGTGGGGGAATAAAAGTTACAATTGTTAGTTTGAAAATGCATCTTTGTTCCTAGCTAATTTCAGAGAAAAATCAAGTCTGTTTTGGCCCACTCTCATGAAAAGATAGAAAAAAAAACACATAAAATCATATTTGAGCTGTGAAGAGATACCACCACAGGATTTTCAGGTGCTGTAAGGCTACCTCTGGTTGTGTTTAAAATGGACACGGGCCATCTCTCTTGAAAATGAATCCTCTGACTTGTCTGAGGCAAAACTAAACATATTACGGCATATGGAAAAAACAAGCTCAACAAATTCCATGGCAAGGCCATGATAAAAACTTATTTCAGCAAGAGAGTTGGCATACAGGCAGCTATAGTTGGCAATAACAGGTGGTTAAGAGCTTGAGTTGGTCTCAGCTAGACCTGGTTTCCACCACAGCTCTACCATTCACACATCTTTGGGTAAACTGCATAGCCTTGCTCAGTGTCGGTTTCCAAATCCACACCCTTGGGATAATAAGACCACCCTCAATCTTTTAGGCTGTTATGAGACTTATACAAAATAATGCATCTGAAGGACATAGTAAGTGCTCAATAAATGCAAGAATTAATTTTTAAAAATAATTATTAGTGATCACATTGTGGTCACTTTTCTCCTGACATGACAAGAAATATAGCACTGGTTTTTCAGTTTCTCCTTATTTGTATTAGTCTTCCCCTGGCAATGAAGACAAATTATACAGTTGATCTTTCCACTTCTCAATAAAACAGAATTTTGAAAAAGGTCATAGTCAACTTGCTGTCATTTTGATAGGCTGAGGTCCCAAATTGCTTGTCAAGGATAGTCTGGCGCCTGGCAGTCATCCCTTTGAGTGGCTCTAGTAGGCGAAGGATTTAGAAAAGGACAGACCAAGTGATGTTAGCAAATAAGCCTGTCTCAAAGAAACTGAGACCCAGAGAGATGAAATGTATGATTCTTCTAAGGTTCTCCAGGTTGTATGTGGCAACCCAAGATAGCTGTGTTTGAGGAGAGGCAAAGGAAAACCTGAATCATCACAACTACTTGATGGGAAGGCTCAAGCTGTGCTTCTCTGAGAGCAGCTGCTGCTATTCAACAAAATAAAACACTTTTTTAAAAATTTACCTACTCCTTCCTTTACTGCGGAATAAAAATTTACTAATTTCTTAATCTCAAATGAAAATTAAGTGAGTTATCAGCTGTTAAAGTGTGTATACTTTTGGGGGGAACATCCTGATTAACTTTAGGTCAAAGAACCAAAAATAATTTTTATTTAAAAAATTTTTGCTATGTGCACTTCTGACTTTCTGTAATTCCCTATATAGCTTTTGTAGTAAGAAGTCATTTTTCATTTTAGGAAAAGATAGGAAACACGTCTGTAGGTCTTCAATTTATAACTCTAGTTGCTATTCTTTAGGATGAATTGCTTATTTTCCTCAATGGTTCCACTTCTTCAACATTTCATTTCTTTCCCATCTCTCATATAAACATTCCTGAGATCACCTGGCATGCATTGCCTAAGTTGCTTTACCAAGTTTCCTCTGTAGTCTTTCAGAACTGCCAGAAGTTTCCATAAAAGTTATTTTTTGGAAAAGGTAATGGTGTGTCTGTCGTCTCTTTCAGTAACAGAAAATGTGAGGTCATGGGGAAATTTAAAGTCCAAATATCCCCTTTTGCCTTTACATCTCCTTCCTTACAAGTTTACCATTAAGTGTGTGCAGTGTGCATGTGTGTGTGGGTGCATGTATGTGTGTGCTGTATGGAGACTGGCTTTGCAAATGAGTTACAACCTTATTTTATGTTGTTGTGGTGGCTGTGTTTTTTTTTTTAATTTTTTAAATATTTTTATTGATTTCAGAGAGGAAGGGAGAGGGAGAGAGAGAGACTGAAACATCCATGATGAGAGAATATTATTGATTGGCTGCCCCCTGCACACCCCTTACTGGATCGAGTCTGCAACCTGTGCATGTGCCCTTGACCAGAATCAAACCTAGGACCCTTCAGTCTGCAGGCGGACGCTCTGTCCACTGAGCCAAACCGGCTAGGGCTGTTTGTTGTTGCTGTTTTAACATTTCTTCATCTCTAATTTCAGGTGGATTCATCTTGCCCTTTTTTAGTTTTACTTTTCTGAGCATCTACCAAGAGTGAGACTCTGTGCCAGGTGTATGACATGTCACCTCATTGACTAATCGCACATTAAATATGGCACTAATTTCCATTTTATAGTCGTTTCCTTAATATGTGTGTGATGCTCTTTGGTTTATGTAGCATTTTCAGAGATAATATTTAATTTTACCCTGTGATGTTGGTATTATTATTTCTGGTTTACAGATGAGAAAGGGAAATTAAAGAATTTGCATAAGATGCTCCCACTGAGAATCAGTGAGTGGAGTTGGGACAGGAGTTTGACTTGTTTGCCTCCTCAAACTCCAAATTGAATGTCTACACGGTTTTCTCTCTGCAGGGAGGGCTTTGTGAGTTGTTATTATCACTGCAACTGTTAACATGAATAAGGCTGAC